TATATTTTATGCTTCCTAATTCTAACATATGATGGCACTTCACTTCCCAATATCCATTGACATTCTTTTGATGTATCTTTTGGGCTAGTGCCTAAGCACATTTGCAAATAGTTTAGTGCTCAATTTAAGGCTGAATATATTCCCAGAATTCCTTGGGCAATCAATTATTTATTACTTACAAGTGTTAAGATCAAAAAGAAAAGAAATAGATGTATATTCCACGCTGACAGGAGGTCCAAAGGGATTACAGAAAACAGAAACTTTAATGCTAAATTTGTGTAAAAAGGAGAAAATGGGGATTCCCTAGTCAGTTAAAAAAAAAAAAAAAAAAGAAAGAAAGAAAGAAAGAAAGAAAAAATTGGCCTGGATTATACAGTTATTCTTCTGTTAGAAGTAACATTTAGTGTTAGAAATGCACACTTGAGCTGTACCATTAGTTCTGTGTACCACACGGGGCAAATTCCACTTTGCTTTCGCCAAGGAAAACCAGCTTGAACTCAGTGCCAGCTGCCTGGATGCACCTTTTAGCAGCATGCCCAGGGTGGCACACATAGCTAATTAATTAAAATACTAATTCGCTCCTATTGACAGCCCTAGGATTTGTGTGAGTTTTTCAGCAAGGTCATACTGCCTGCATGGATTCTTTGTAAAACCTGGGGCTTGTAAGGGCGTCAACACTCAAACAAAGGGCAAGTCGCAGGAGTAGAATTTAGAATTTAGAAAGATCATTCGTACTTCACTGAACAGCACTGTAGAAGGTGGAGGACATTTTCACAAGCATGTTTGACTGAGGCATAATTTGCTTTATTCCTATCAGCGTGGTATGAGCAGCGATGGAAGTTCACGAGGCCAAATGCTAGGTCTCTCCCTCCAGGAGCTGCAGGTCAGAGCTCAAGTGCTCAAACCAAAACTTCATCTGTAGTCACAGCTGGCTATGAAGGTGGCTTTACAAATCATGTGTTCTTCTCCGTAAGCCTTTGTTTATTTATTGCTAACCTTACACTGTGGCCAAAGACAAGCAAGAAAATAGCCCTGGCCAGGTCGCCAGTACAAAACTAGTCCTTACCTGGGTGATTAATGTCAGAGTAAGGGATACCTGACTACTTCTCAGTAAGCCAGTGCAGAATTATTCAGATAGGACAGAAGAAGCAGCAGGAAAAGAAGAACCTGGTACAAACAAACAAGGGGTAATTCCAGCTCAGGAGTATAAGCTGATGGAAGGCAATCTGCTGAAATAAGAAATCTAGACATAAAATCAGGTGAATGGCTCCACAGAGCAAATTTATTTCTGATGTATATCTGCAAGCTGAAATGCAAAATGGAATATCTAGCAAATGGCTATGAATGTCTATTAGAGGCCAGTCTGGATGGGGCTTTGAGCAACCTGGTCCAGTGGAAAGTGTCCCTGGCCACGGCAAAGGAATTGGAACTGCATGAACTTTAAGGTCCTTTCCAACCCAAACCATGCTAGGATTCTATGACCACAGATGCCAGAACTGAATGAAGACCTGGACTTGCTTTATCATAGCTAGCAGTCCAGCTAACAATGGATGAAATTCTTTTCTGTTTCTCTTTTTTTCCAGTGCAGGAAATTTATGTAGCAAACCTTTTCCTGAGGTCAGGGAAATTATGACCCTGTTGTAATTTAAGTTACTTATTTCTCAAATAAACAGAAAAATTAGACTACCATAAAAACTGAGATGTATCTAAAGAGAGTGGCAGCTCTCCAGGTAAAAAGAATCAGCCATCTGCTCTAAAAAAAAAAAAAAAAAAAATCTAATAAAACCCAGTGACAGATCACTTCATTCACTGAGAGAAACTTGGAACAGTGGGGCTGAAATCTGCTACGTGAAACTGGAGGAATCACACAACAGAGAGTTTGCAAATAATCCAATGGACTGTTCACTACATGGAGATTCAAACATCTACCTTAAGTCTTACTACCACTACTGCTATTATTATTGTTATTATCATTATTATCAATTCTTTTTGAGGTCTGCTTATAACTTTGAGATGGTCTTTAGCTGGTAAACCTTTTGAGGTTTGAGCATTACTACACAAAGTAGTAGAAAATGAGGCCTCTCTATTTTATTTCTTGGAGTGATCCTTCTGTTTAATAACTTCTGGGAGAGTCGATTTGTCACCTTTGAAGCGAAGGTACTTAAGGGTCTAGAGGTTAATTAGGAAAATGACAACTCACTTTACTGAAAGAGTTTAATTCAGCTAAACGAACAGTGACAAACTGTTTTCGAGCTGGAAGATCTGTTTGGAGCTGGTTTGTGCTGGAATGTCACCCACACAAATCTTGTGAGGGAACATTAAGTGACAATACGCTCAAAATGATGAAGCTTATGTTGGAGCAAATTCTCTGCGGCTGGGAAAAAAAATGCTTAAAGGAGGAAACATTTACATCCCAGTTTCTAAATTAGCTATTAATTAAATATAAAAGTTTGATGAGGTTTTTTGTAAACATCTTCACACAATCTTGTCACCACATTGGGTTTTTTCATGAAACCAATGGTAAAGAGTTTTCCTCCTTACCTATGTTACTGTTTTTCTCCAAATGAGCAAGATCAATGCAGAGGTTTACTGTGCAGGGAGAAAAATAAACAACAACAACAGAGGTGAATAATGAGAAATACATAGACAGCTTTGATAAAATAGTACAAAATGTGGTAAGATGCCAGCAGTGCTGACTGCTGATGTGCAATCTGCCTATCAAGGTGACAAGTATATTTGATTAACATGTTTCTAACTGTTACATACTAACTATTTCAATTAATTTTTTCTTTTTTTTTTTTTTTTTTTTTTTTTTTTTTTTTTTTTTTTTTTTTTTTTTTTTTTTTTTTTTTTTTTTTTTTTTTTTTTTTTTTTTTTTTTTTTTTTTTTTTTTTTTTTTTTTTTTTTTTTTTTTTTTTTTTTTTTACTGCTCAGGTGAATTCAGTGCTTTTACCCTCTCTCTGCTGAATGTTGGTTGATCTCCATTGAACTGTGACACTTCATCTTGCATTAAACTGTAATACCAAAAGTGTGTTCACCCATGCAGTAGAAGAGCTCCCATAGAACCCTACTGGGATACTCACAGTAGTAAGTGATGAGGTAGGAGTGGGTTTCAGTCAACTGGCATTTATTTGTGCTGTATATTTTATGGCCCTAAATTCAAGTAGCAGTCACTTTTAAAAAATTAGTGCAATGTCTTTAATTAGAGGAGAAGAGCAACCACGAACCTATAATTATCCAAAAAAAAAAACCAACCCACATGTAGCTGATGCAGTGAGTAGTGCCTTTCTCATAAGTGACATCAAGTCCCCTCTGTTCTTGGGCTAGGTCACTCATCAGTCAGCTTCAAGGGCAATCACTACTAATTAACAAGTCTTTTGAACTCTTCCAATGGCCCAGACCACTGAGGTGCTGTAATAATAGTAAGACATGCAGCTCTTAAGGTTGTCTGTCCTTTATGCTGGCAGAAAAGAAACTTCCTTCAGTACAATTAAACCAAAAGTATTGCAGCCATCCAAGTCTTTCTCACTAGAGAACCACCTTCCATGCTCTTGATAATTTGGCATGTGTATCCATACACAGAAAAGAAAAAAGGCTACTACAGCTGTGCAGAGAGACCATCTCCCTTCTCTACTGAAATGAGCAGAATTAGGACTGGACATTGAAAATAGAGCTTTGACTTGGGTTAAATCTGGCTAGAGACATTCATCTGAAACCTGAGTTAGTCAGACGGCAACAACAGGGTGTTCTCAATTGGAGCTGTGTATTTCGGGCTGAAAAAGGGTTGAAAGAGTAAACAAAGATGACACCTTGCATCTGAGGTTAGAGTTTCTGATTGTGGTGCACTCGGGACCAAGCCAGTAGAAACTCTTTCACATAGGCAAACATGATTTCTTTGAAGGAACAGGGAACTCCACCACCAGTTTCTCCTCCTAACTGTAAGGACGTGCAGTATCACCGATAACCTCCCTAGACCCGAAGAGATCATATCTGTACGGCTCTTTGATATGCAGATACTGGGAGCTGCTATTCTTATCCTGCTGGTTTTGTGCTTAGCCTATGGAAAACACAAACTGGTTCTGCCATGCTTTCCCTGTGCCCATCCCTCTTGCCTCCCCAGGTGGCACAACATCAGCAGACAGGTCGTAGTCCTCAGGGGGAGCAGGTCCCGCTGCTGGCCACCAGCACGGAGCTGACGTGAGGAACTCGCTGGACATCGGCTCCTGCCCCGGGGTGTCACGCACCACACAAGCCCAGTTCGTTCCAGGGACATATTTAAAACATCCCAGACCCCTTTTAATTTAAGCTGTAATTGATAGCTGGCTTTGGCAAAGAGCAGTTTCGCAGGCGTCGAGAGTTTAATTGCGGCCACGCGAATGAGCTTCCCTTGAGTCACAGCTACCCCGGTGTCACAGAAGAGCATCCCCTGAGTCACACCAACCCAGCCACCTGCCCCATTTCATCGGGAGCAGGCTAAAAAAAAAACACAAAAACCTATAAAAAGATGGGTCCTTGAAATAAATAAACAGCCACGTCAAGGTGCAGGTCAGCCTCTTCTCTCAGGCAGCCAGTGACAGGATGAGAGGACATGGTCTTAAGCTGCACCAGGGGAGGTTTAGGTTGGCCATTAGGAGGAATTTCTTCACAGAAAGGGGCTTAGACAATCGGAACGGGCTGCCCAGGGAGGTGGTGGGGTTGCCGTCCCTGGAGGTGTTTAAGGACAGACTGGACGTGGCACTGAGTGTAGTTGACACGGCGGTGTTCAGTCATAGGTTGGCCTCGATAGTCTCAGAGGTCTGTTCCAACATAATCGATCCTGTCATTCCCCCTGCGGTAGCCAAGGAATCCCAATCCACGCAGGACGGGCGGGCGGCTGACAGGCGGTAGAGCCCGAGGCGGGACTCGAACCCGCGGCTCCTCAGCCCGCGGGCTCCACCCCGCGCTCCCGGGGGGCCGAGCCGCGCAGGCGCAGCGTGGGCGGCCGGGCGGGGGCGCTGCGGGGCGGCGGGAGCGGGATCGGGGTCGGCGGCTCCTGAGCCCGCCATGGGTGACGCGCCCCGCAGGGCGGAGTCGGGCACTCAGGTGAGGCGCTGCCCTCGCCCCCGCCCCGGCCCCCCTCAGCCGCGGGGCCCGGGCGGGGAGGGCCGGGCGAGGCCGCAGCCGGGGGAGGGGGGAGCGCTCCCTACAGCGGCCCGGTGGGGGGAGCGCCCGCGGAGCCTCCTGAGGGGTGTGCGGGAAGGAGGGGAGGGTTCAGCCGCCTGGAGGGCTCCCTGGAGGGTGTCCGTGGGTGGCAGCGGCTCCAGGCGGGCTCAGGGTGCCGTGCATCCCTGTCCTGCCTGTGTGGGGGATGCGGGCGGGCGCTGCTGTCAGCACGGGGGGAGGGGGGTCCGGTGTCTCGGGAATTGTTTGTAAATTTTCCCTCCGCCCTCACTTCCCGAGAGCTGGAGTGGGTGCCTGAGGAAGAAGGGTTGTGACGAAGGTTCGGTTTAGACGTTTGGACTTAGTGATCTTAAAGGTCTCTTCGAGCTTTGACGCTTCTATGATTCTGTAAATAAAGAGTATGGAAGGTGGAATTGCTTTACTTCTCTTAGTAGAAAAGGGAGTTTGAGTTTAAGGTTTTGTTGCCTTGTTTGTTTTTGGTTGGGGTTGGGGGTTTTTCTCTGCTGGATGGCGTATTTGTTAAAAACCTCCACTTGAAATCATCAACGTAATTGCTTGGAGATTTTTGTGTAACTATCAGAATACATCAAATAGTTCATATAAAAACGTAGAAATGTGTGGTAGTATTTATTTCTTGATAAAACTCCGCGTTTTTTCAGTGGGACTTGAGCTCTTAAGCCCTTTTGACACTTAAAAAAAAAAATAGTACCAGATGTCCACTATCAGCAAATAGACATGAATTAAGGACATGAGTTGTGCTGTGTCCAAGGGGGTCAGTGCATTTATTTGTCGTTGTGATGGTGCCAGCAGGGAATGCACATGGCATCAACTGGCTGTGATAGATGGATAAGCCAGCCTGGACCAAGGGAGGAACTGACAACCGATGGGTTAAGAAAGGTTAATGTATGAATACACCGTCCAGGAAAAAAATGGTAAAAGGCCTTGAAACAGAAAACACTTAATTTAAAACAATACTTGGTCAAATAGCCTCCTGCATAGGATCAGGTTATCTTGGGACCACAGTCTTGTACTCTTATTATTCAATATAATTAATACAACAAATTAGAATTAGTCACAAAATAGCTTTGGTGTATCACAGTAAAATTAATGATAAATTGCTTGCATATCTCTTCATGCCCAAAGTTTACAAAAGCTCAGTCAGAGCGGTTATAGCGGTTGAAAATTAAGTTTTGTCTCGTACTCAAGACGGGTTTGTATGTGTAAACAGCCTGTAGGTTAGCTCACAACCTCTAACAGAGCTGGAGTATGTAATTTGAATTTCTTTAACATTTTAATGAAGTAATCTCTCATTCCTGACAAGACCTACATGTGTGCCTCCATTTATGCATAGCTCTGGTGAAACCAATAGAGTATAAGCACATCGTGTGTTAGTCAGTGGGACTGTCCATGTGCATATTTGCTTATTAAGAATTTGATAAATTATAAAAGGCATAGCTGAAATATTTGAGCCCCATCAGCCTTGTCATTAATGAAATTTAACCTAGCTGCTGTCTGACTCTTCTGTATAACTTGTCTTTTACACGTGACTGCACAGATGTGCAGTTTCTTGCTGGCATAATTACACTTGAAGAACACCTAAGAGCGAAGGCCTACCACTAGCAGGTTGCTAAAAGGTGGTGGTTTGTGTAAAAGAAGATGAAAAGAGCCTTATGAAAGAATAAATGAGCATCTACAGTTAGATTATGGAATCTGAAGACTTAATACGTAATTGAAATTGTCTTGTTTTGGTTTTTTTTTTTCCCAAACTCTTCCAACTCATATAGTGCTATGAGCTGTACAGTGTCTGTGGCAAAGCCTGGGACATCTGATGTCCACCCTCCAGATTAACCTTTAGATGCTGTAGATTTCTCCTCCTCCTCATTTTACACGTGAATAAGTGGGGAGGCAAAATGGAAATGCTGCCCTGGAACGGAGCCAAGGTGGCTTTAGCCGATTTGGAAAGCCCTGTGCTGTCCCTGCCTGGAATGCGGGCAGAGGTGAGGGATTGCCTGTCTGGTGCCTCATCTCGGCTTTGCCTCCGTCACTTCTGCTGTGGTGTGGACAAACCTTTGTGAGAGTTGAAGGAAAATTGTTCCTGTTTTCTGCCAGGAACCCCATTGCTCCCAGCGTGACATTAATGAGGCAAGTGCCTTTGGAGATTCTGCTTCAAATCTCGGAAGTAAATACAAGTTTGATAAAAACACAGGTGCACTATCATCAGCAAATTACCATAAATTACCTACATGAGCAGTGCTCAGAGTAAGCACCTGTAGTTATTTAAAATTAATATATAAACTTGTCGTTTAAGTAACTGCAGATTCATATTTAAATGATGCCAGTCAATCTACCATGTGTTTCCAAAGCTCTGGCAGTAAGCTTAAAAGAGGTGACAGTCTAAGAGCTCATTGTTTCAGAAGAAATAAACTGCAGAGGATGTTTTGTTGGCATAGAAATAAATTTAGGAGCAGGAACATATTTAGCCCAGCAATAGTTGTGACTCCTGGACCTAGCAGTGCCCGTGATCCAGCCCCCTGTTATCCCAGAATGCTGGAGAGGTGCTTCCTCTGCTAAGAAGTGAAGACCATTAGCAAGCAGCAGCCTGTGGTGGTTTTCTTCTTTCTCTCAACTTCCACTGCTGGATGAGGGGGTGAAATTCCCAGCCCTTCTCGCCAGGGGCGAGGGCCAGGCATTGGCAGCTGCTTGCACAGAAGAGCTGCACGTGAAGGGTCTTTCTTGGTAGTTGAGAGCTCCTGGTTTATGCGTCCCAAGATACATTCCTGTATTCTTGTGTACATATGTCCATTTGGATTTTTCCTTTTTCTGGGTCACAGGACCCTACCGGTTCCCAAAATACTCCAGAGCTCACCATGTGAGCGTTTTGTGTGCTGCACAAATGTGTGAAATGTAATGGGAGGATCCACAGATCCAGAGCAAGGTCAATCCAAGTGTTTTTCTGGCCCTTCACTGGACGAGTCAGAAAACTCTCCTGGATAGGTGTGAACGGGCCAAGGCAAACACGCTGACATTTTGTTATGGAAGGGACTGTTAAAGTGTCAGTGAATATGCCACACTTAGGTTCCCATTGTGACCACTTGAAGTAAATTTAGGACCATTTAATGGAGTTTTATTCTACTATGAAAGGCAAACACAACTCTTTAAAAAACTGTTAAGACAATTCAGAGCAAATGTTGCTTGTGGATGTGGCATAGAGGAAAGCAAGAGAAGGCAGCAGTTTAACACAGTTTAACCATATGTGCTCACTGCTGGTTTGGTCCTGAGGAGGATGGGATAAAGCTGAACAGGATTTGTTTTGTTCAGAGCTTTAAATGACAGCTGGGTGTGTCGGAGAATGAAGTATTTGGCACCAGGGTACGTGCTCTGGTGGCACTCTGAGCGTCCCAGTAGTGTCCTTTCCCAAGTGTGCTGATACACGTAGGGAATAACAGCTCTGGTAGTGGGGGAAATGTTCATTCTTGGTTTATGCAGTGTGCCAGAACTACTAATAACACAGGTTATGTCAATACCTGTCTACTTACTACGCAAATACCTCTCAATTTAAGAAACTGTCCGTGAACTTTGAACTAATTTGTTTTACAATGGGCTTACTTTGCAAGGGGCTTTGGAGAACATGCTTTACAAATTCAAGCTTGCTTTAGAAAGGTTCTTGCAGGGCCACTGGTGACTAATTACTTTTGATCATTCTTAATCCATACTCTGTTTGAACAAGTAACTATGATATAATAGGATTGTAGCCCAGAGGAGTCCTGTGTAACTTTTCAGGTGAAATGCACATGGTTTTACTTACAAATGCTCAGAGGGACTGACTCAGGAGATTGATGATGGGTAAGGTTTCACCTCCTCATCCAGTAGTTTTTTGTGAAGGAGGTGGTTGTTACAAATGATCTTCTTTCTCTTTGTTCTTCCCAGTGGCAGCACTGCTGTGTCCCAGAGGCGATCCCTCTTGCTAACCTACCTGTGCAGCTTTTCTTTTTAAGCTTTTATTTCCCCTGATATATCCACTCCTCATTGCCATTGAATCGGTGTGCTCATTGTTTGTGAGGATGGAACCGTCTGTAGTCCAGACTATATGCTTCCATGTGTATTTCTGAAAACATTTTTAAAGTCAGGCTAATCTTTTGATAGGGCTGTCATGGAAAACTGTCAGATTTAGGTTTTGTTGCCTAGGTCCATTGTTTTTAGTTAACAGCGTGTCTCTCTGTCTTGTCTTTAAAAGCTGCTTGCACGACTGGAGGGCAGAAGCTCCCTGAAGAATCTTGAACCTTACCTGTTTGCTGAGGAAGGATCTCCTGTTCATGGTAAAAATGTGTCTTTATCCACTTCATGGAAAAATGTCTGTGTAAAAGTATTCTCAGAGCAGTGTGACAGGGATAAGCTTACAAGTAGATGATTTTATCCTGGATCAGAATTTTAATTGTTGATGTATTTCTATGAAAACTAGATAAAATGGAATGATGCAAAGTCACCATGCCAAACATTATTAAATGGACTTTAAATATGCTGCATGCATATCGAAACACAGCTGTAGGTGAGTAAATACCAAGCACATTGGTCAGTTTTTTTGTAGTTTTACACCATTTTGTTCTAGAGTCTGTCATTGAACCTCTCAGGTTTTTTTAATGAGTGCTCTAAACAACCACCACCAAGTCATAACTGCAGAAATTTGTAAAGAGCATGAGGTTCAGTAAATAGCAAAGAGTTCAGTGATACGGAGTGGTCTGGAAAATTTAGGATAAGGGGCATGAGCAAACAGTATTTTTCAATAAAGCCAAGTCATCAAGCCGTTTTAGTCTTGGCCTGAAAAATCCTAATTATACTTAGATGGACCTTTAGAAACAATTCCATTGTGGACATAGGCACTAATCAGCTGAATGAGTTCATGGGCAATGTTTGGATCAACATGGCTCATGGAGACCTTCAGTGAATAAATAAGAATTTCAAATTGGAGAAGTCAGGCAACCTCCCAGTGACACCAGTATACAAGTTGATGGGAGATTCTTCTAGCAAGAAGTTTAAAGATCAAGATTGGATGTTTTAATGACCTAAACAGAAATTCACACTCTATTCAGGAAGTCAGACTGATTTTCCAGATCGTGTGAAATCTCGTGTATTTCATAATGGAAGAGACAGCTCTGATTACACAAAATTAGAAATATGTAGGAAAAAAGGCACATGAATGGCAAACTGCAAGGATCTTGTGGTGGAGTACTACTGCTGTGGAATGAATGTCTGAATGAGTGGATTTCATATGGCAGGTACGTGGCTGCAGTGATTACCAGCACGCTTGTCTGCAGTTTGAAGGTTCAGCGGAAAAGGCAATAAAAAAAATCAGCCTAATTGGATGAGAGATGATGCTTAGTCTGCAAACACAGTCACTGTGAGACTACTCCTGTGTTGTTTTGCAGCACTTGAGAATACATATGGGGTTTAGCAGTGTATGGTTCCTGCCCCAAAAGTTTCAAATGTGACATAACAAGGATAAAGGGCAGAGAAATATGGGTAAACCAATCAGGGCAAGTGGAACACAGAAGGATATTTAAATACTCTCAATTCTGAAGTTCTTTGTTATCCACAAGAAGAATTAAGAACCAGTAGTGAAATTGGTATATGTTTCACAAGGCTCTCAAATTCTTAATTGTTTTAAGAGATGAGGTATTTATGTTTTTAAAAAATGCAGTAATAGAAAATACTGATATTTTAGTCTGGGATTTTTTCTGCTCAACTTTACACACAAGAAACAAATATTTGAGACTAAACTGTCCATATTCTGGTCAAACAGACATTAAGAAGCCTTCTTGAGGGTTAGTAATTGCCTGCAGTCCACAGCATTAGATTATTTCATGTAAATTTATTTGCTTTGCTCTTAAAGTTAAGTAGGTTGTTCCTGTCTGTCCAAAGACTGTTCCAGAATCTCAGATCTAAGATGGCTGGAAACCTTATAAAAGTCATCACTGGTTTCTCTGTGCCAGCAGAGTCATTGAGCTTTTGAAGCACTTGTATTTTTCTTCTGCACTGAACAAATGGCGTCGATTATTACCCATAATTTGCCACGCTTTTTGGCTGACACCAATGAAGCTGCATAACGTATTAGCACAGATCTTTAGCTGTGTATAGATAAATAGACTTCACCTTCTATTACGTTTTTGCTTTGTCTTTTAATACCACAGTATTCATGTGAGCCCATGTGTTGTTTTGATGTGTGTTCTCATTTATTCAGTCCTAAATCCCTGCTGAAGGCCTTCCTCTCCATTTGTCATGAACTTGACTTTTAGTGGGTCACTGTGGAATGCTGTGATGGATTGCTCATGAAGTCTGTACTGAACAGCTCCTAATCTAAAATGCTGTAAATAAAGTAATGCAAGGGCCTAAATTTTGTTTTTCTTGATGGCATTTAAAGCAAACACATACACGAAATTTCAATAAAGTACAAAATGTTACATTGTAGTTAAGTGTTCGTTACATCTGTGTCAGTACTATAAAATAGGGGCGGGTAATATAGGTACTGCTGTGATGTTCTAGCCACTGCCTCTAATTACAATGGACTTGCATATTTAAGAACACATAAGCACATTAATTACATACCATTTAAGCTCTTCTGGAATGGAGCAAAAGTGACACAAGCTTTAAATAATCTTCCCCTCTTACCAATCATATTTCCACTGTGCCACTGGCACGAAGGTGTGGGTGTCAGTGTAAAGCTCTGATGTTCAGCATGACACCCAACATTAACTTGGAATAAATATGGGGCCCTTCTACTTCACTTATAAATGGTATAAATATTAGTGACAGCTTCAGCACTCTGTTGTAAATCACCAGCCCAATAACTTCAAGGTATCGGGTGATGTGAAATCCACAGAGTTATTGCTGAGTATTCCAACAGCCTGTTTGGAACTGCAGTGTCAGGAAACAGTTTAACCAGCATTTGCCAGTGGAATGATTACAGACAGCAACAAGGCTCTTCTCATTCAAAAGGTACCACCGAATTGATGACCAAGACTGAGCACAAAGTTTCAGTTAAAAATATATTAGTGTTTCATAAATATTTACATTTATGCAGCAGCGTTTAGCTCGTCCTGCACGCCAGTTCATACCAGTGGACTATTGTTCTCTTTATTCTGCCCACAGTGGGCCAGTTCAGGCTACCATGAGCCAAACAAAGTGTTGGGTGACTCCTTAGAATCTACTTCTTGAATTCATCAGTGCTGAATTTCATATGAAATCACTCTGCTTATCCATCTCCATCTGTTAAGTCTTCACGAACTTAAGTCTTTATTAACCCAATTAGTTTGTCTTCTACATGTTTTGCCAAGCTAATGGAACATTCATCTACTGATATGTTTAACGTCTGCCAACACCAGCTCTAATAGAAAAAGTTCCCATTAACCTTCTTCCACATTTAAAGTGTCTGTTCCTCCTCTCCCTCTCAGCCTTTCTCATCCTGTGACAGTGACTTTTTACTAATCCTCCTTTCAAAGTTGTTTTGACATTAATGGCTGATGCTAGCACTGATCACTCAGTCTCTTCTGTGACCTATTGTGAGAGTGTCAAAGGCTTCTTGAAAATGTTGCTGGCCTCACTTCCTCCTCTGCTGTGTCATGGTTTGTCCTCTCTGATCCAGAGGAATGAATTTCCCCTCTTATCTTACTCTAACAGCCTGGTTACTAATTCAGTGAAACCCTACATTTATGGATGTTGCTATAAATGGCTTCTGTTTTGCACCCGTTCTTCTTGTGGGCAGCCTCTGGGATAATCAGGAAGGCACAGAAATCCCCAGCCCTCTTGAGGTTTTCTTGCAGTCCAAGCTGTTACTCTTTTCAGAGTAACTCAAGTATCTTGGTCAAACTACAATGCAGCTGAGTATCTTTCTCAGCAATGTTGAACAAACTTTGAGGGGTGCTTGGCTGTCTTGCTGTCAACATTTATAAACCACCACCACAAAAAGTTCTGAGACTGATTTTTATCACTCAACTTTTAGAATTTTTACTTAAATAAGTTCATTAGTTCTGCCAATAACAAAATCTCGTCCAGTGCTATTCTGTAGCACACAGACGTCCTGTTAGAACATCTCCAAATGGAAAAAGTGGAGCATTTATTTCCCAGAATAACTTTGTGAATCAGACAGGTCACATTTTGCTGTAAAGGCAGGTGAGGCACCTGCCTTGCATGTTGGCCCCATTCACTTTCTGGTGTGGAATCAGAAATGCCAGTCAGGGTGGCACGAAGCCAGCGGCAGACAGAAGACACACTTTGTACCTTAACAAGAGCTGCCTTATGCAATTGCTCTAAAATATTTCAGTAAATGAAATATGAGGGAATGACCTACCAGGACATTTAGGAGGAGTTCTTCCAAGCTGGTATCTCACCCTACCAGGGCGTGGTTATGTTGCTGGCACAGGCTGTGTGACAGCAGAGCAGCCACTGGCTGAAAGTGCCTGAGTTGGACATTTGACCCCTGGGCAGGAAGAGAAAATGAAGATTTATGTCCCAGCAAGTCTAGTGGTCTTTCATCTCAAAAGTGAGTGAGCCATTCAAAACAGCTTAGTAAAGGTTTTTGAAGCAATCAAGCTTTTTAATAAATTTTGAAGGATCAGAAATTCATAGAAATGGAATTGCAGTCGTGGAGCAGCAGGAATTCCATTATGGAGAGGCGGGCAGTCTGAGCTCCACGGAAATGGACAGCCTTGGCACATCAGGTGTAAATTGCTTTTAACACTTGCAAAGGGTGAAGTAAGAGCTTGGTTTCTTCCCCACCACCTTCTGCCCTTCATCCTGAGCTGCATCTTGACATTATACACATTTGTGAACAAGGACGTCCTCTGGAAGTTGAGCAGTGGCTTGAAAAACCCTGTTAACTCAGGCAGGCACAAACATGTTTAAGGAAAGTTGCAATTAATTTTCTACTCTCACATCTCCCTATGAAAAGCTGTTATGCCATTTGCACTTGCCAAGGCCATGGAAATCTCTCACCTTCCTGCAATTACAGTTGTGTGATTCTCCTTACTGCATGTATTTACCCTTCTGCCTAAAATCCAAAATGTCATAAATAAATAATCCAGAACCCAAAATTAAAAATTTATAAAACATGACTAATAAATTAATGTTTTTTTAGATTCTGGATCAAGACATCAGGAAACTTTGGATAACACTTAAAAATATCTTGCATTCACATCCAACAAAAGACCTGGTTTCCTGCTGAAGTGTAATGCTGTTTTTAATTAACATTTTAAATTTATGTGATATGTGTTTTACTGACCTACATGGATGAGGCAACCAGACTGAATCCTTTTATGAACAGAGATCCTTTGCTTCAGACAGAGGTGTTGCCTGCAGTTGAAGGAATCTGAGTCCCCTTTGTCAAAAAAAAGCAGTTTCATATTAAGATCACAGAAGAATATCAGGGCTAAATAAACCCACTGGTGCTCTCTTCACCCGTCACAGATTCCTGTAGGTATCTTGTGACATCTGGAGGTACTGAACGAGCTTATAGCAGGCATGAGATGCTGAAGGACAGGCTGTGCTGTAAAAATAGATGTGCCAACATGACTTGGACCTCTGATATATAAATTTTTTTGTGTTTCGCTTGTCCTCTCCTCTTTAATTTATTCCTTAATTGTGTGTGCATAGTGTAGATGGTTTCTTAGCCACTTCTGTATAAACATCTTCCTCCTCTGCTTTCATTGACCTGTGATGATATGGATGAAATCCAGTTGCCAATGTTTTACTGAGGCTGGTATCCTAGGTGCTATTGGCAGAGGTTTTCAACCTTTCTTCCCAGTTGATTTTTTTTTTTTTTTTTTACTTTAGAGGCCTTTCTTGAAAATTGAAATGTCTCTTTGTAGGTGCTAACCAGGATTTAAACATTTTTAATGCATATCAGACTTTCCAAAATGCACGTTCCAATTCGTGGAATGGCGAGTATTGGTTCAGTAAACACTGGAAAGTGACCCTGGGCTAAAAATGCTCTTACCTGACAACCTGCTGCCTTGTTTTTGAACAGGAGACGTCATTGAATTCCACGGTGCAGAAGGGACAGGAAAAACGGAAATGCTCTATCACCTCATAGCCCGCTGCATCATTCCAAAGTCAGGAGGAGGACTGGAGGTGGAAGTCATGTTCATTGACACAGACTACCACTTCGACATGCTCCGCCTGGTTACGGTTCTGGAGAACAGGCTGGCACAGAGGACGGAGGAAATGATAAAGCAGTGCCTGGGAAGGCTTTTCCTTGTGAACTGCAACAGCAGCACTCAGTTACTGCTCACTCTCTACTCCTTAGAAAACCTGTTTTGTGCTCACCCCTCGCTCTGTGTTCTGCTTTTAGACAGTATATCAGCTTTTTACTGGATAGACAGAAGCAATGGAGGGGAGAGTCTTACCTTGCAGGAGATGAATCTGAAGAAATGTGCCAACTTGCTTGAAAAGCTTGTGAGACAGCACCACTTGGTCCTCTTTGCAACATCACAGACCCTTATGCAGAAATCTGCAAACTCTGCAGAAGGCTTTTTCCCTTTAAAACTTCCACATGAAACCGATACAGATTATAGACCGTATCTTTGTAAATCATGGCAACAAATGGTAACCCACAGGATATTTTTCTCTAAGCAGTGTAGTTCTGGCAGCAGCAATGGTTTTACAGTCATTTCTTGCCACCTCAAAAGAAACCAGGTAGTAAAACGTTCATTTAGTGTTGCAGAATGTGGAGTTCAGTTTTAAGTTCAGCTTGCTTTGTAAACATTGAGCAAATCTTGGTGCTTAAGGCCTGATCAGGTCTAAGTAGTTTCTGGTACCTTTAAAAGTAGCTGGTTGTTGCTGAGTGACTAAGAATTTTTGTCATTTCTTTTGTCATTTATCATGTTCTTTAAATTTAGTGAAATTTTTGTTCATACTTAACCAAAGACACATTAAACTCCGAGTATCCTTCAGTAATCTAACCTGTGTGGTACGTGGCCAAACACACTGATTGAATTTCTGGGTCTTGCTGCTTTACACTCCTCCTCTTCCAAGCTCCAGCCTGGCTGTCCACGGGGGAGGCTGCAGAGAGGGAGGCGAGAGTTCACTTTATAAACACTGGCTTTGGTTTATTCCCTGTAGCCCTGGGCATAAGAAATGCGTTCACGGCTTTGCCTGAAGAAGGGGATTCGTTTTCACAGCCTGGGAAGTAGTGGCAATCCTGACTCTGCTTCTCCAGGCTCGCAGCCTCTCTGTTTCCCTTGGCATGTTCTGGGAGGAGCGGGGATTGCAGGCGTTCTGACCCTTACAGACATCTGGGTTTGGAAAATCTACACCCAGCTCAGAAAAAGGGGCCTGATTTCCATAACTGAAGGTAAAGTAAAGACCCAGCTCTGGGTACCTGTGAGTTTGTGCTGCATGCAGCAAACAGTTTAGCCTTTGAAAATAATTAAGTGCTGGTTAGGGGTTGTTTGGGGTTTTTTGCTTTTTTTTTTTTTTTTTTTTAAATGATGTATGAACATTTTTTTCTCTCTTCCCTCCCTTGTTATTCCTTCCCACTTCTTCCTCTGCCCCCAGTCTCTCTAAGAAATCCAGGAATGCCATGCCTCTGGTCTTTACCAATATGTATTTGCCACATGTAGAACATTTGTGTGCAGGATTTGGCATGCAACGTGTTGCAATTCTGGCAAAGAAGATTCAGAATTTATGGGAAATGCCCTACAGTTCTGGCAAAGAATACCATATTATTTATGAACCCAGAGTGCCCTTTGAAAGCTTCAAAGTGCTTTACAAGAAAGAAAATTGCACACAGAACATTATTTTATACAAAAACTTAACGTTAGCTTACAAATTCAAATTACTCAAACATGGGGGAAATATTTCTCACAGCGATATTCGTTCAGTCATGTTGCACAGCACGTTTTATAGTTTAGATTGAGCAGATTATTAACAAAAATGCATATTAAGAAGTATCGAGCTCTTTTGAGTACGAATCTTTTTGGGGAAGATGCCCAAAAAACTCTGTTGTGAGACACCTACCTTTGAATTTCCTGACTTCTGAGGCAGCTTTTTCAAGCTGAATGTATGTCTGGATTCCCAGCTGTGTATAGTTCATTTACCCTCTTGGGTTCCACTGTGTCTGTTCACAATGAGTTCAGTTTAATTATTCTTTCTGTAGGAAAACTTCCCTTTTTTTCCCCCCTTGATTTCAAACTTTCCATCTGATCACTTCTTTACACCGTCTGTTCCTTTACTGTGACACATGAGTGAACCTTGCCTTTTCAGCATCTCCACAGAGCTGATGATTTTATAGATTGTTGTTTCATGTGTGCTTTCTTTTCCATCAGAACATGTATTTTGTTTCAGACTTGCATAAGAACACAAATACATGAAAAAACACACAGCAGCCATTCAGCCTAGACTGGACCTGAGTTAGATGGTTTACCATGAGCAAACACTCCCACTAGGAACTGTTATAAAAGGCATTCTTCAATTTTTTTCTAAAAAAAAAAGAACAGAAAGATTCAAATAGAACTACAGAACTCTAAAAGGTGAAAATTACAGGACTATATAACTTCTACTAGGAGAAAAGCAGCCCCCTTTCCATAGGAGAATACAGCTCCACTGATTCATAACTGCTTCAGAAAATCATTCTTGCTAAAAAATGTGGTTGAGGAAAAAAAAACAATGGATATGTTCCGTCGTTCCCATCTGGAAAAAGTGCTTTTATATCATTCACAATGTAGTTTATATTTTGCGTTGTACTGTAGAAGAAATGCCTAAATTGGAAGGAAGCCAAAGTTCTAGTTGATCAAAAAGAGCACCTCAGGAAATTTAGAAATTTCCCAGTTTTATTTTTGCTTTGAATGCAGACAGATTTTTTGACTTCTCTGATAATTGTAATATTCATGCTCTGCACATTTGTTTCAGCTGAATAGCAAGCCTAGATTTCAAGGTGCTGAACATCTACATATCCCTGTAATACTGCAGGAGGGATAGGCAGTATGCAGTCTGGGAGTGCACTGACCTCAGCCTCTGCCAAAATTATGCCATTTGGAAAAATTAACCTTTAGGATACAAGTCTAAGAAAGATGCAGCGATAAAAAACCTGGGAAGCGGCAATGCTGTTTGTCCCTCAATGCACTGTGAGTGTGAAAAAGGGAGTTTACCATTTTCTAAGTGGGGAATTTTCTCAAAGTTTTGTACAAATTGCGGTTAGTGGAGAAGGCAGTTTGTCCCTGTGAGCCAGGAACAGTATTTCAAACGTAGCATAATGCTTAGAATGTGCTGTTAAATGCAGATTCTCCTCTTTCACCCAGACCCAAGTTACCGCCCCGTCTCCATCCCACTGTCTCACCTGGAGTGCCCTGTGCTGCTGCAGCTCAGACTCCCGGGGAGGAAGCTCATTTTGGGTTAGTAGGTCTGTGCTGCTGGAATTCAGCCCTGCAGAAGGGGATGGAATGCATGTATCCCTACCCTAAACTCTGATGTAGCCAGGTATTTCTTGGAAATGAAAATCCTTTCATGTCAGTGCCATTGTTCTTCAGCTCAGTGTGGTATTGTTAAGGCTTTTGTAGGCATAGGAACTTCTTACATTCCTTAGAGTTTGTTGCTTCATATGCCATATGGAATTAAAGCAACGAGCTTGAAATAAAGAGGAACTAGTCCACCCTTTTCCCCCATCCTTTTAATAGTTCTTAGCAAAACCAAATTAAGGTATTTTGCAGGTTTTATATTTATTTTCAACTAAACTAATATTTCTATGAATACCTGAAAAGAAAATGTGAGGTTTTATATCCAGTAAAAAGTTCTTTTGTATGCCTAGACTTTTATAGAGCAAATAAAATACAAATAGCGGTTTGCTTGGTTTAAGTTTGTACTTGCAAAATAAAATTTCCTTTCTCTTAAATAACTGATTCCAGCCACTTAGTTTTCCCTGGAGTTTGGAAATGGCAGAAGATAAAGGTTCTCCTGTGGAAACATACCTGCAGTTTTATTTTTCCTGGAGAGTAATGGGCAGAGAGAATTCTCACCTGTGTAAAAGCTGCAGACAGTTGTGGTGTTTCCAGCAGCTACACAGTAGTAGCACAGGACACGCGTGTTTGCTTCAAAAAGGGGAAACATTCAAAGGGCTTGGAAGACTTTGGCAGTGGAAAAAATTTTCAGACAGGGAAAGTAGCATCAGTACAAAGTATCTTCATGATCTTCTGGATGGAGAACTCTGATGCCCTGCAGCAGTCTCTGAAATCAAAGGTCTGGGCATCCCTGTGGGTGAAAGAAGGCAGCTGAGTGGCACAGAGCTGTGAATAACGTGGCTACAACAAAAGGACCCGTGAACTGTTCACTAACTTGGAATGGTAATGCTTTCAAAGGGAAACTTGACCATAGTTGACCTGCAGGCTCTTCCCAACTGGGAATATGGATTCCACTATGTAGATGCTTTATAGCTCATTTATAATGAAAATATAAACCCCTGCTTCTCTGGACCCAGGAGGAATTAAATGTAAAAACAGACTTCCTTCTTATGTGTTGGGGGTTTTTTCCTCTCCAGCTCTAGGCACCTTCCCAACAATCAGCACTTAGCTCCAAAGCTCTCTCACAGCCTTCTGTGGCAGCATCCAGCTTCACTGGAAGTGGGTAGTTTTCTGCTTTGCTAGGAGTTTATGTACACTCTTTATTACTCGTGCAGGCTGGGCTACCCAGATAGGGAAGACTGAACCCACATCAGTGTAACTGGTAAACAGCTTTGGAGACTCGATTCTGTTTGCAGTCAGGAGTGATGTCACATCAGAGCAGATGATTTCGAAGAATCATGGCTGTGACTTTCCCTGGGAAAAGTTTGGCAGTCTTCCCTCTTCTTTCCCACCCTGCCTTGCATCCTGCCCCAACCAACTGGTCGGTGTACCTGTGTGGGCCTCAGTGCTCAGGGATAGCGGTGACAAGATGTCACTGCTTTGCCAAATGCTGGTGAACAGCCACGTTCTGGATCTTGGCACCCTCCTACAGCAGGAGTTGGCACAACCCCTATAGCTGTTAATATAAACCGTTTGCCAGGCTTCTTTCTCGTACGTCTCACTGGGCCAATGCTAAAGACCTCCTAGCCCTGGGGGGAGACAGGAAAGAGGAGAAATCTTGGTGTTTGAGTATAGGAGGGACAAGATTTTAGGCCATTGCTACAAAAAGAGGCCCGGCAAGGCCATGAGGCTCCTGCAGTCAAGGCCTCGAAGGTGGCTTGGCAAAGGTCAAGGAACAGACTCCATCTCCCAGGAAGGGGTGAATAGGATTTTTGACTAAAATTATCTGCACACTCTTCATCCTGCTGAGACAGAAGACCATGCTACAGTGGGCAGTGCTGTCTCTAGAGTCCATCTCAAAGGCTCTGCTCAAACTCCCTCGGTGACAGTTCTGTCTCCATCCTGACTTCTCCATGGGTTCCCAGTAGAATCTTAGGCAGTTTTATCAACTCTTGAAAAATATCAGCAGAGTGTTTTTCTGATCTGGTAAAGAACAATTGCAGAAGTAAGTAAACAAGATGCCACATGGCTCACCACAGTTCACGAGGCACAGGTAGGATTAGTCCCACAGACCCACAACTTGCTGTAAAACAGCATTAGCAGAACCAAAAAAAAAAAAAAAAGCACAACCATCTTCCCAGGGAATATAAAATGGGATTTTTAGGTACAGAAATTACTCTGGCCTGTCCCCAGCATTCTAAGGCCAGGAGAACCTTCTCGTTTCTTTGCACAGTGGCAGCTGCACAACAGTGGGAGGTGTAAGTCCGGTGAACTCCAGCGGTGTGTCATTTGCTGGGCTTGCCTTGGCCATGTCAAAAAGCCAGATACCTTCGGTTCATGGGCAGGGTCATGCCCTCCAGTGAACATTCAGGCTGTAGCAGTGCACTTGTGATGCCATTCCCTAACTGGACTTCAGCGGGTTCCAGTCTGAAGGCTGACCCTGTGCAGCCCTGCTGGATGTGAAATGCAGGGCAGTGCAGAAACAGCCCAGCTGCTCTCGGGCAACCCTGAAGTGATGGAGGTTTCTTCTACTCCATGTTCAAAACAGGAAAGAGTCTCCAAGGTAGAGCACAAATGGGAAGAGGCTCTGGGGTATAAAACTGAGGAGTATTTTATAAAAACTGTCTGTTGCAAGGGCTGAATAATGATTAAGGGCTTTTTAATTTATCACCAAGCAGGGCTGTCAACTCACACAGCCAAACCATCCAGCAGCTGGGTGTTAACTACTGCCCAGACTGAGGAGGCAAGTGAGAGAGGAAGGGGTAGAGGAGAGGGGAGGCTGTTTAGGAAACTCCTAAAGACTTTGCTAAAGCATGGGAAACAGGAAAGCCATGTGGTCATCAAAAGTTGGCAGGCAAAGGGCTTCATTTCTCTCCAGAGTCTGTAGAAAAATGCCCTTAGTGGAGAGGAATGGCTTAGCTGGAAACAGCAGACTCTAAAAGGGTCTGGAGGTTGCAGGAGCAGTCCGTGGCCACAGTGAAGAAGAAAACCAGGCCAGAGATCAGACAGCACTAGAGCTGCTGTTCTGCCCCTCTGAACTCATCTGAGCCTGTCCTGGCTGAACAGCACATATTGCCACTCAAAGCTCCTGTCACAGCTCCTTCCAGATGAGATGGGACACCGTTCATCCCCTTCTGGGAAGTGGGCAGCAATGGGAGGCAACTCCATCCCCAAGGCTGTTGAGCAACCCTGCCCGTGATGAGGAGCATTCACTTACAAAGTCATGGCTGAACTTTCCCTCATCCTTTATTTTAATGCCTTAATTTGGTGGCTCTGCAGTGATACTCCTGCCACTGCTTGCACTTTGATTACCATATGCATCAGTGGCACTTTTCTGACAATAAAATCACGTTTTGTGAAATTATATAGGTGCTTGTATTTTCACCCATCAGAAAAAAATGAGGCTTTTAATAAAATTTATGAATCCCCTAAGCAAATGCCATAGACCAGTTGCATAGGCAATGAAGTTACAGAAGCCAGTGGAGCCAGGAATTTGAATAGCCCACGCAGTTAAAGGAAAGGGCTCACCATCTTTAAAATCCATGGAGGCATTCCGAATATGATTATTCTGCAATCCTGTTCACAACAAATCTTGCTGGCTGACACTACGTGACCCTTCCCATTGATTGTATGGCCTCCACAAGCACTCTGAGCATATTAAGCCTGAAGTCCTTGCTGCAGATAATAACTTAAACGTGCCAGTCCCTCGAGCAGACACAAAAAAAGTACTTGCTAGTACAGCTGTCAATTTTGTGAAAATGTCCTGTGGGATTCCATAAGCATCCTAACAAGTGGCTGAACTCTCTCCTTCGCTCCTGCAGGTGTGGTTAGATCAAGGAGCAGTCAGTGCTAGCTGGAGGCAGGCAGGGTTCAGCTGCCTGGTGCCTGCCAGAGAGTGCCCTTAATCCGTTGCTCAGCCTCCCAAAGGCTCTGCTGGCTGCTAAATGCTCAGGAGAGGTTCCATCTCCCACCACAGCAGAGGATTCAGTGAGACCCCCCTGGACTCAGAAGAGAAATCATAATTTGCCTGATTTTCATTGTGCCACAGTAGAAAATCAGCCTTTCTCCGTGGTGGAAATGGGGATTTCTGACATGCTCGGGTCGTTGCTGGTTGCAGAGCAGCTCATACTGGTGTCAGTAAATCACACCAGTGACTGACCACCACAGCAGAGCCCAAAGGAGATTTTCACCTGGAGGCACCTGCTGGGAGGTCCAGCACAGCTCCTGGACCAAGGCACTGGTGCTGGGATTCCTCCTGGCACTCTAGAGCACAGTGCTCAGATGTGGTGGCAGTGACTCCTGACCTCTGTCACAGAGCGCAGAAACCACCACGGAAATGCCTTTGTCTCACACTGATCCAATCCCATGGCTCTGCTCACGGCTCTGCTCTGCTGGGATCTCGTGCCTGTGTTTCGTGTTAAAACCTCTTCTGTTTTGTGAAGGAGCTCAGGTGGTTTTGCTGCTGTGAATGAAGGACAGAGGTGGCATCCACCAGTCTCGGTGACACTTCACCCAACCCTCATGGCAGTGCTGAACCAAATATTAACGAGTAAGTGCAGCACAAAAGAGTGTCAGGATTTCAAAACTGGCTTTTCTTTCTCTGTTGGTTTGGGGTTTTATTGCCGCTTCTAATATCTCTTCTAAGAAACAAAATTTCCCAATACTTCCTCTTCTGGTAAGTCATATAATGTGTGTGGTATCCTCCCCACAGGAGATTTGAGAGGCAAAAGGCAAGAAAGGGACAATCTCTGGGTTTATTTTCTGGACTGAAGCCATACTCCAGTTAGGGCATTACACAACAGTGCTGTTTCCCTCATGGATTGATCAAGGATATCATGGACAATTGGAGAAGCAGGAGGGAGTACTTGAACACAGTGCAGGTGAGGCTGCAGACAGGTATTTAAATGAACACACTGGATATAAAGAGAACAGAATTCTGCAGCCTCTGAAAGCCAAAAGTCAAACTTTGAACTATTCCTTCTGAATTTGCACTTTTACATAAACAGCAGGGCTGAGTTAGAGTCTGAAGATGGAACAAATGCAGACAAGAACATCAAGGCTGATTTTCTAGATCTTTTGGTCCCACAACCTGTTTTCTCCAAGAGCAAGATTTAGCTTCCAGGAAAATAAAGGTGACACAAATGGAAATGCTTTCTGTTAGGATAAGAAATCATCAAATATCAATGCAGTAGTTCAAAACCTGCTGAATTCCCAGTACTTAGAATTGGTCCTGACTACTCCCTGCTCTGGATGATTTCAGTGTCACTGTTGTCCTGTCATTTATCTGAAGCCAAACCCATTATTTTTGGGAAGCAGGTAGGCTTTCAGTCTCTCCAAAACCAATTCAGTATAATTATGGTGTAGGATGCACTAAAGCTAAAATGTTAATTCATCCACACACTAAACCATGCATTTAGCTGCCTCTAGGACTCTTGTGAACAACAGCAACACACAGGACAGAAGGCATTTCATCTTGCAAAGCCATCACAATACAAAAGAGAACATTCAAAGGGAATGGAGAAATCCTTTTGTTTAATGAAAACTGAATTCAAGGTACATTTTCTTACTCTGTGGTCTCCTGTCCCAGATCTCCTCCCTGTCTGAAATGCTGTCCCAAAGCTCAAGCAGTGAATCTGGCCTTGCCAAAAGAAGCCCGCTGTAAACCAGAACATATACAAGTGGAGACTGGAGTAGGGAATAGAACTTCATCTCATTTTGGATTTGCCTTGTTTCCCCGCAGCTTTCCTTTTCACCAGTTCATTGGTCGTGATACTCGAAAGCAGATCCGGATAATCCTGGGCAGGGTGACATTAGGTTTTGAATGCAGAAGAAAAGAGAGGTCAGAGTGTGGCCTTGATACAAAGAAACAAACTCCCCCAATCCTGTGCAACTGTACAAAAGCCTCAAGTACTCCTGAATAAGGAACTGCTTTTTTGTAGATTTCTAGTAGATGCTCTTGTTTAATTACTCATTTTTAATGTATCAAGGGAAACACGGAAGGTAGGTGAGAATGCAGTTTGCTCAAACTTCTGCCATGAAACAACAAAGCTTAAAGGTCTGTTTTAAGATGGTTTAGCAAACACTGGTCTAAAAGGCTTGACTACAGGGCAACTTTGCCAAAACAAGTGGCCTTCACCCCAAAAATGGATTTGGTAGTGCTCTGGCTGGGTTCATGTTCATCTCCAACCACCCGCTCACGTCACAGTGTTGCTTGTTTGCTGGAAGTTTGTGTAGCTGACATTCCCAAATGGGCCATAGTAACTCCAGAACAACCTATAGATTTATATACTAATGTCTACAGCATAACCCAAACAATAAACCTGTCAAAGAAATCTGGCTTGAAACACTGTGAAGAAACAGACACAGACAATAAAAATAGAAACATTTCCCATGTGAATATTTAAAAAAAAAATAAATAGAGGTTAATAACTAACAGAATTCTTACTAACCCAGAGAAGCTAGTCCTTAAATGAAGACTCATGACCAGGCTCTGGATATCTTGCCCACAAAAGACAGCTCAAGTAATGCAGACCTTGTTCATTTTTATCCATTCCCTTTGTCAGGCCCCAGTGGAATTGTTTAAGTTGGACTTAGCACAGAAGCCACCAACAGGAACGCACTGCCGAGAGCGCTGCTCTGTTGGCAGGACTCGGGGCTGTCAACGCAATGAAAGGATCTCAGCCACACAACCCAAGTTAAACTTGCCTCCTGCCAACCTGCCACATGCTAAATTCCAGTAAATTGCTTAATTAACGTAACGAATGCAAACTGCACTCTAGTCTGCTCTATAGGTAGCTGGAAACACCCGCTCGTACACAAGCAACAATGCCTTGTCCTTTATCTGAGTGGCCTGCATTTGTCTGTTCCCAAGAGCTCCTATGTGCACACCTCTTGTAAATTTTTCTATTCCATTGTACAGAAAGTATTTCTGGTTAACTATTTTGGTAGCCTCATTTATATTCCCTATTTCTAGAAAGGCTCATGCATATGTTTAATGCATGAATAGTTCCAGGGAAGTCAAGGGGAAAATTTATACCTTTAAAGTTAAGGGTGTGCATACATCTTTACAAAGTGAAAATGGACTTTGCATCTACACCTAAAGGTTTTCTCCAGCCGTGTCTGCCAGAACACACATAACTGAACCAGACTTCCAACACTAGTCCATTATTCCTCCACCTGGAAACTCGAAATCCACTGTGAACTGTACGATCATTATAGATGGCTGTCTTCTTTTTTTCTACTTCTTTCCCAAATAACTGAGACTGTGGGGCGTGAAAAAATTATTGTAGCTGTTAGGAAAGCACATGCACAGGCACAGCCAGGTGGTGATGGCTGGAGAAGGATGTCAGGCCGTGCTGGCAGTGGTTTTGTCTCATGTTGTGATTCAGACGCCTGTAGCGGTTCCCACAGGCTCACTGCACAGAGGGGAGTGTCCTCCTGACAGCCTGTGGTGACTGATACTCACTTCCACCTTGTTCTGGATCAAAATCCATGATCTAAACGTCTTCTCTCCCCCAGCCCTTTGTACTCTTCATGCCCTGGTGACTTGGAGCCCCTTCCCACCCAACACATCAGCCATGGTGTTGGTGGCTTAAGGCCATGCTGGTATTTTTGCTATAAATGTTTCACGCAGGAAAAAAATCTAACAAAGTGTAAATAATGCTTTGTCACAGGAAAAAAAAAAGTGGCTGCGTTTTTCCTATCTTATTTTTCTTTTCTGCAAGGACAGGCCAGTCAAAGACTCCACAGAGTAGAAGAGTATGCTCAGTAGAAAAGCACAACTGCTGCCTATGTAACGTTAAACTATCAAGTAGAAACAACATCTTTCGCTCAATGATTGCATTCCCTCCCACTCTCACATGAGCCAAGAGGAGTCTCTTGTGTTTACAGCCAGGGAATGGGAGACAAGCACTGGGCTAGTCTTGGCTCAGCCCAGTTTTTGTTTGTGTTGGACACATGATGACACTCCCCTCATCGGATCCAAGGTCCTAGAAGCAATTTGTTTTCGTTTAAAACCAGAAAAGGCCGTGCTTTCCTACGAGCACACACGCTGGGGAAGGCTGCCCTGCTGACAAAGCAGCTGTCTGTCCTTGGGCTGCAGCTGAGGTGCCGTAGGTCCCATGGCTCCCACCCAAATCAGAAACCTAGAAACACAAACTTTCCAAGCTTTTGCTATCAAGCCATGTATGCATTCCAGCTATATTCCCTGTTTGGCAAATACAGCTCCCACTTCTCAGCCTTACTGGCCCCTACCAGAGCCACGTGTACGCCGGGATCTGCTCACACAGCCCAACTTGCAAGACTGGTGCCTCAATTTGTCATGCTCGTATAATAAATCAATTTATTCCCTTCAGCCAGGGGTTAGTCAGCAAACCCTTACTCATACACTTCTCATACAGCAGGTCCCACTTCCTGGTAGGGTTGGTGTGAGTGGAGCTTCCGACTGTGGCCTCACCTTCTCTTTAGGAGAAGCAGCGAGATGAGGTTGGTTTTCCCGAGATATCCATTCTCTTGTGACTCCTCCCAGCCAATAAAGGCTTGACTTTTCTGCCCATAACGAAGAGTCATTGGTTCCAATGTGGGACCGTGGTGTAGGGAGGGAATGTTGTCCTCTGAGCAGCTGGGCTGGCCTGGCTGTGAGGGATGTGAGGGATGTGAGGGGCCGAGCGGCAGAGCTGTATTTCCCTTGCAGCCCCTCTGCCACCCCAGTGAGTGTCCCAGGGGCGTTTGCAGAGGCTCTTTGTGCTGGAGCAGTGCAGGGCACTTTCCCACTGAGCCGTGGGAGATCTTGTCTGTCCTTCTGGACAAACAGGTTGTTGTGGTGAGCGGCAGAGCTCTATCAGTGGTGGCATCTCTGGGTCTGCCCCAGCGGGGCCACGTGGGAAGGCTATTGCTGGTTATCAGCATCATCAAAGGCATTTCTTGGACTCCCTGTAGCCCCTTGGCCCCTTTGGCCCTGCTTGAACCCCACCTGAACTCAGGCTCAGCCCAGGGAGCTCACAAGTGGTCCAGACCGGGGCTTGGAGCAAGAGGACAGCAGCAGGATCCCTGGGCACTGCTCCTCCCAGCTCCGGAGGATGGACTGTAAAATCTCCAGGCCCGTGTGCTCAGCCTGCCTCGTCCAGCTGTGGGAGGAATTTCAGCTGTGGAATAATTTTTCATAGGAAGTATCTGCCCATGAATTAATGCCTCTAAGAACTAATTATTGGGTAAACTGTATAAACAGTCCCTGGAGTGCCTCTTCAGTACTTGGCTTTTGGGCTCAGAACAGACGGAGCAGGCAAGAGGATTTTCAAAGGACGCTCTGTCTGGCCAAGTGATGATGTAGGTGACTCAGTGGTTTTCCCTCTCACAGCCTAAAAAGACAGAGAGGTCTGTCGTGGTCATTTGGGGTGAAAATTTATAGCTTATTAATTAAAAAAAAAAAAAATGTTTCAAGGCCAGATCATAGATTCTAGGCTGCCATCCAATGTCAGGAAACGTTCTCCTCTCAGCAGGGGATCCAGGCTAAAAGGTTATTTAATACTTTCTGGTTGATTTTCTATTTGGCATAAGTGCCTGAAATGATTGGGTTTGGCCTGAGAAACTGTTTGCTTACCTGGCACCTGAACTTCAGTGATAAAGTTTAATGTCCTCCTCTGAGTATTCCCACAGCACACAAAGGAGACTTCATGCAGTCCCACTACCTATAAATCTGATCTTTCTAAAAAATAAAAAAAATCAAAATCAGATGTTGCTCATTATCTCTTCCAACTTCCATCTACCCGTGAACATCCAAAAGTTTTAAAAGCCCTGCTTAAGCAGGTCTCCACTCCATTGATGGAATATCCTTTAATATTTTATAGCTCTGACTTGCACTTCTAAAAGTACTAATTAATCTCACTAGATAAAAACTGGCACAAAATGGCACAAGTGAGAATAGCTCCATCCTTCCTCACAGCAATCTTGTGCCAGCTCATCTTGGAGCATGTAATGATTTACTGTAATAGTTTTAGGCCCATAATGGGGCCAATAACTGGCATCTGGAAGCTGTGAGGCTCTTTCCCAATGGATGCCATTCACATATAGTTATTTAATTAATTAACAGCTCCACTAGCATAAGCCAGTAAAGAGTCCATTAAAGTTTTGGTTGTTTTTTGTTGTGTTTTGTTTTTTTTTTTTAATATCTTCCAAAGTAAGAACATATGCTGCACACTGCTTTTCCCTTGGAGAGTGCTTAATGTTGCAACCTGTTTATCTTATGACTGATTTTCAAATTCCACCTTAACCAGCTGCTTTTTGCTCCACTTTAGGATTCAGCAGAGAGCGGATTGCCGAGCTCTCAGCAGGAGCAGTGGAATAACATTCTACCTGCATGTGCTCATTCCCGTGCGAGGTGCCAAACCCCTGCAATGGCTGCCTGGCTGCCTCTCTGCTGTTCCCAGACCTTACACGTGATGCATTTTCACTTGCCCGTTTCTCCGCTGAAAAGAAATAAAACAATAATAATGAAAAAAAAAAAAAAAAACGAGGTGTGGAGTTCGTTTGGAATAAGGAAAAATATCAGTGGGAAAACAAACCCCAGCGGACGCTGGAGGGAGTTGGTCAGGTTTGTAAAACGCGTTTGAGAGCTCAGTCCCATGTGAAATGTGGAAAAGCCATCAGGGGCCATAAAGCCAGCAAGGATGGGTTTGGTCTGGTTACAGAGCCAAAGGATTTTTGCTTCCCAAATGAGGATTCCTATTCCTGAGGCGCAGTTAAATGCAAACCAGGTCCTAATGGGTGCTGTGTCTGCAGTGGGGTGAAGGGCTCGCCTGGAGTCCTCCCTGCCTCTGCAAGGAGCTGGAGTGGGAGGTAAGAGCAGCTCCCCCTGGCACTGCCCGGGCACACTCACCTGCAACGCGCAGCTCCAGCCTGTGCCACGCAGCACACGGGATCTGAGGAGCTGCCCCTCAGAGGATGAAGTAGACATGAAACTGGAGAAGCTCTGACAAGACAGGAATGTCATTTAACAGTGGTTGTCAAAAGTGAGCCCTGCTAACGTGGCAGGGCACGGCATCAGCTCCCTGGCAGCGGGCTGTGATATATAGGACATGTCAAAAGTTACATAATCCTTGATGCAGAATCCTTTTCTCTTCCCTGGCTCTAATGTGTTGTGTCGTTCCTCCTCCTGCTCTCCCTCCCACTGGCCCTGCAGCACAGCCTTCTGCCTGCAAGGCTTTTGCCCTGGTGTGCTGCAGGGCTCTGGAAAAACAGCAGAGCCCTGGAGCAGCTGTCACCCAGAGCCCTTCAGCTGGTGCCTCATCCCTGTGATCTGCCACGGATTGTCCAAAGGGCTGCCAGAAACCCAGGGGAAGCCGGCAAGAGCTTGGTTTGATACCCTTGTGGGAGAGATGTCAGGTTTGCTCTGCCCAGATGTCAGGTATGGACAGGGAAGAGCCAATCTTTGTAACTGTGACGTCTCATGCTCGTCCCCAGGTAGAGCCCCAGGCCTGACAAGCCTGGAAATTTCGGCACCCAGCTCACTTCCAAGTCCCGTGGGCCCCTGAAATTGCTCTTCATCCTAAACCCCCTGAAGCAACCAGTCTGTCAGGGCTGCTGGGTCATGGCAAGACCTCAGTGGCAGGTCCTCCTCTGTTACCTCCTTCCGAAAGGTACCGGCAGTCGCTGCTGCCTCAGAGACAGAGCAGGGACTGTAGGGGAGGTGGTTGCCACTTTGAGACAGTGGCTTAATGGTCAAATCACTCTCCAGGAAGCAGCACACAGAGCAAGTCCCTTCTCCTGTAGAGAACATTCAAATACACATCTCCTGCTTTCCCCAGTGGTGCCTCAGCCCCTGGGATAACGCACTCTCCTCAGCAGGACGAAGAAGGGACACTCTGCCTTCACTATTCCTTGCGTCCCTATGACCTGTAATCTGCACAAACTCCATCAGAAGTCCCTGAAGCAGAGGCCAGAGCTCAGGATCTCTCCTCCCAGCAGAGTGCCATAACCAAGAGGCCATGCAAGGTCACCTCAGCTAACTTCACGTATTAAGGATCCAAGTACCGACATGTTTCCCATAGGCAGCAGGGAAACAGGCATTTCCTGTCCTGAAAGGAGACAAATCTCTCTCTTGAGCTCCTTTTCCTCTCCACTGACTGTACGTGGAGCCTGGGGTGACTAATGCAGTCTTTGAAGTCCAGTTGTTCAATATCTACATCAGGGCTGATGAGTTCTCCCTCTCCTCCCTCCAACCTGTCCCTGCCTTCTCTTTCTGTCCCAGTAAACCTTTCATGTTGCTGTTGCTCTAACAGGAAGGCCTGGGAGCACACAGTTATCCTAATCCCCTGTAGAACTGCTGAGAGCTAGGGGTTGGAAGGCTCGCTCTGGAACTGTGGTATCGAACCATCCCCAGGAGTTCTCCCGTGACCCAGAGACCCCCCAAGCAGGGAGGTTCCTGATGGGAGGTTCCTAATATACGGTTTCCTTTCCCAGTTTATTTTCATAGACAAGACTGACCACTTCTTGGTGCTTCACAACAGATGCTGTAGACACCAATGTTCTGCAAAGAACTGTAAAAAATATTAATTACTATGGTAATTAATACCCCATGGGTGCTTTGTGCTTTTGTGGAAAGCAAAGCAACTATAACCTTGTTTAACTGTATGCTCTGTTTTACTGATTTGTCCTGCTCTACTACTCCAATTAATATACTCTTTAAATGTGACTTAGGCTTAATATTACTTATCTCCAAAATATTAGAAGCATCCCACATGACTTCAGATTTCTTGATTAGTCTTCATTTACAGATAAATTACCTCAAGGAGGAATGAAGGTGAAGCACATATATCAGGAATTTAAAATAAAACACCTCTAACAGATTTTGCAACTAAACTAAAACACTGCAGCAGAAAATACAAAGTACTCATACCTGAAGTTAAACTTCAAATCCAAACCACTTAGGATTAGAGTCATAGAAGGGTTTGGATTGAGAGAAACTTTAAAGATCATCTAGTCTAATCCCCTGCCATGGACAGACATCTTCCATTAGACCAGGTTGCTCCAAGCCCCATCCAACCTGGCCTTGAACATTTTCAGGGATGGGGCATCCACGACTACTCTGAGCAACCTGTTGTGGTGCCTCACCATCCTCACAGTAGCAAATAAATTTATTCCCTGTTAGAGTTTATTTCAAGAGAAAACCCCACATTCTACCATAAGCCTCAGGAAAAAAATTTGACCAGCTCCAGTCACAGATTTTGACCTCTGTGAGGTCCAAAGACCCAGCGTGGGACCTTTGTGTGCCATCTTCATACCTCCACATTCAGCCTCTAGACCAACCTTCTATTTTATTCCTAGGTCTGCAAAAAACATCAGATTGAACCTCTGAAAATATTCAGAGGTTCTGTGTTTCTCTGCCGTGGAAGAAAACCCAATTCACAGCCTGAGAAACTCCCCGGGATGGAAACACAATGGTGTGATTTTCTGTTTCCAGGAGTGTCGCTGGAGGATCAGCGAGCACTGCTAAACCCCACGGCAGAACTTTCCCTGGACATACGCTGTATAATGTAAAAACACTCAAAGGATTAACAGCAATCGGGGATATATCTCTAGCTGTGCACACACAGCAAATCTACAAAGAAGGGATTAGAGGTATAGGATATGAACCTGCAAGGAAAAAAACACAGTGGAGCCAGAAATGAAATCATAAGAGAAAGGTTATTCCTGTATTTGTAAAACTGTACACAGATCCTTGTGCTCCGTGATGGCTTGTTTGCATTGCAGCAACGTGTAGAAATCCCTCAACAAGGGATCAGTCACAAGCTGCTGGGTTTTGTACACGCTGATCACAGAAAAGTGTGTCTGCCCTGGAGCTTGCAGGCCAAGAGCTATTTCTTGCAAGTGCATCCACACGGCTGTACTGTCGACGTGTGGAAACCCAGTCCCAGGCGTTAGCCCAGAAGAGTTATTTAAACAAGAAACATCTTTATCCTTTCGATGCTCATTATTAAAATAAAACACCCTTGTGAATTTTAACAAGACCCATGCACTCCCTGGCTGGCTTTACTACATCACCCTCTTATCTAGAAAGTTTTTCCTAATGTCAAACCTAAATTTTATTAGCTGTAAATGAAGCTGGTTCCTTCTTTCCCTATCCCCCAGTGAGCACGGGGAAAGATTTATCACCATCCTCCTTACAATAAACTTTAACATATTGCAAGATTTTTATCACAGCTCTTCTTTAGACTCTGCTGTTCCCAGACTAAACAAACAATCCTTTCAACATTTCCTCCTAGGTTGTTCCTTCTACGCCTCTGATACTTCTCGTGTGTCTCTCTCCTGGACCCTCTCCAGTTTGTGTACATTTTTCTTGCAGCGCAGTACCCAAAACTGGACACTCTATTCCAGCTGAGGCCTTACCGGTGCCAAGTGGAGTAGAATAATTATCTCCTATGTTTTAGGTTGCAGTCACACATCCTGTTCTGCCTGCAGCTGAGCTGGGTGAAAAGTTTATTTCTTTTCACCCACTCCAGCTGCTTATCACCACCCCTCAGCTGCAGGCTCTCCCCCTCCCAGGTCAACTGCATAACTGCCAGAGGATCCCTCCCAAACACAATCTGGGTAAATGATCCAGGTTAGAGGCAGTAACTCAAATAACAGGGCTTTTCTGATCACCTGTTTAACAGGCCCAGGTAATGCTGAGGTATAAGCAGATATGAAGAAGCTGAAACCTGAGGTGGGAGGAGATGATGAGCAACAGGGTTATGGATGGCAGCTTTTCCTGCTGGAGGAAATGCAGCCAGAAAAGGACACTTGATATTGTCCTTACACTCAGACTTTTGTCCCCTCCACACCCCCAGTCCCTCTTGATGCTGCTGCCCAGTTGGGAAATCCTCTTTTTGTATTTCTCCTCTCAAAGTTTTTTGGTTTACACTTAATCATCAGGCTGATTTTATAGCATTTTCCCCCATTATCAGTGCCCTTTTAAATTCAGATTTCATTGTCCCAAGTAAGACCATCCCAAAGAGGTATTTTGTAAACACATCCCCTGTTCTCACACCCAAGGTGGTTGTGAAAAGGACAAAGAGAACAGCAAGGTTTGGCTGAAAAGCCACCCTGGTGTGGCAGCAATACCTTCACAGCCTTCACCTACAGGTTCTCATCCACTTCTGCACCCACCTGAGAGTGAGAAAGTGTTGTGCCAGCTCACAGCCCTATACAGAATGGGGTCATAAGGGTCACCAGTGTCACAGGGCAAATTCCTGCTGCCTTCCTGCACTTGCTGTGCCTGTAGACCTGGCAGGACCAGACTTGGGCTTCTCCCATTGGCAGAAGAAATACAGACAACTTGGAAGTGCTGCACTGACTAGACTGGAGATGAGCTTTTCTTTTCCTAATCTGTGGCTTCTGCAAAGGTGTGATGGAGGCCTGAGCTGGCTGCTGATCAGTCTCATAGATTTTCTGCTCCCCTGCAGAACAGTGTTTTGTGCTCTGAGGAATGAAGACTTGGGAAAACAACAGTGCTGCTGAGGACTAAGGGCATTTCTATACCACCCAGGACCACCAGACACAGTGAGAACAATTAGTGACATCATGACCCTGGGGGACTCCCTCCCACAGCTGACGTTTCCCTGTGCTGTTTAGACAGAATTACACCTGTTCTGCTTTGTTGCCTTCAGCTCTGGGCACACCTTCATCCCACTCTTTGCTTATCCATGCATCCTT